AAGTATGAACAAATCTCCAAGTGTCTCCATAATATCAGAGATAAGAAATTCTTTAATGTAGCTACAAAAGTGGTTTAACGATGTTAGAAAATACACTAAATAACACCCTTGCAGTTTCATGACATGTCTGGACACAGCTAGGTTACTAGAATAGTGACTGCGTGAAGGTAACTGCAGTCCTTTCAGAGCTGGACAGGTGGAGACAGTGAAACTGCCTCAACCCCAGACTTTAGATACATACTTCTACACCTAGGGTAAAAAAATATCATGCATACCAGATATAAATCAGGATGCAGTTGTCTATTGAGTCCAGAAGGATCAAAACCTTAAGGTCATCTTGCAGGTGAAGTAATAACAAGATTGAAGACAAGAGAGTGTAAAGGTTTTCCAAGGTAATATGAACAGATTGGACATTCACGGAGTTAGAAAGGCATCTAAAGGAAGGCATCTGGAAAAAGCACAGAGACAGTCTTTGAAGAGGATCTGAAGCCAAACCCAAAGGCTTGAAACAGCACAAGTCTTACACTTAAGAATGCCCTTGAGAACAGTGCTCCTGGCTGTCAAGAAGGGGCCCGGATCCAGGGCCATTCTGTGACATCTAAGGTGCCATTCAAACACTATTACTTGAGCGCTGACCTGGCCCCCTACTCTAAAGGCCACAGAAGGTAAAAACCCAGGACACTTGATCAACTAGAGGCAGGGAGAAATAGGTGAAGATGCTAACCAGACAGCCCTTCATCAAGCAATGGTGTATGTACATCTGGAGATGTACATAAAGACAATTAGGGTCAAGGCAGTTGGAGACAGGAGAATGGCAGGCACACCACAACTGTCCACTCATCTAGTGCACAAGGCAACGGATGTTTTCTTCCTCACTAGCTAGCTTGAGCCACTCTTCCTGGAGAAAGGAAAGAGTACTCTGAAGACTTTCAGCTCTACTAAAGATCAGGGTCAATCAGGTGATCCAGGCTGTGAGACAAGTTTCAGATGAGAAGATGTCTCAAGCCTTTTATGAGCTGCCAAAGGAGTTTCTGAAACCACCTCCGGTGCGGTTAAGACACGCTCCTTCTACCTTATTACCTTCTTTATTCCTGCTTTAGTCTAAGACCTGTAAAACCAGTGGCATGGAAGGGAAGCACATAAAGTTTACCTCTTCACCACAGAATCAGCAATGTAATAGAAATCCTGGACACCAGCCCACTCTTGATCAAAACACAAGACCTCCTCCTAGCCTGCTACACAAGGAAGTTTGCCATGGCCTTGTCCCATTCATGAAGAGGATTTAACATCCCAGCCAGCCAGATGTCAAGTACTGAGTTTATAATGCAAACCTGACAAAAGAATACAGCTCTCCCATGAAGCCCACGGGGGAAACCACAGTAGGGACAGTATCGCAGTGGGCAGCTGTATGTAGACTGTGTTTGTTCAAAAGATGCATGTAGGGGAATACAAATGGTTTTGATAGCACTTCTCTGAATTGGATACAGAGCTGAAAAGCCACCTAAGACAAACCTATTTGAAAAGTAGTGTTTATTAGCCTGAACAGCAGCCTGCTAACCCTTACTATCCTTTTTTGTAGTCAGCATCTAAACAATGCTGATGGTTGGACAGTGTTAACAAGGTGTCCTGGGCTATCATGGAACTTTGGCAGTCAACTTCAAGATGACTGCACCTGTGGAGGTTGAACCCCATACACCAGTACAGGCTAGAAAGCAGCTCTGCTGAGATGGACCTGGGAGTCCTGGTGGATGACAAGCTGACCATGAGCCAGCAGTGTGCCAAGAAGGCCAATGGTATCCTGGGGTGCATTAAAAGGAATGTGGCCAGCAGGTCGTGGGAGGTTGTCCTCCCTCTCTACTCTGCCCTGGTGAGACCCCACCTGGAGCACTGTGTCCAGTTCCGGGCTCCCTGGTTCAAGAAGGATGAGGAACTCCTAGAAAGAGTTCAGAGGAGAGCAACAAGGATGCTAAAGGGACCAGACCATCTACCCTATGAGGAAAGGCTGAGAGAGTTGGGCTTGTTTAGCCTGAAGAAGAGAAGACTGAGAGGGGACCTCATCAACACATACAAATATTTTAAGGGTAAATGTCATGAGGACAGAGCCAGACTCTTTGCAGTGGTGCCCAGTGACAGGACAAGGGGCAATAGGTACAAACTGAAACATAAGAGGTTTCAGTTGAATAGGAGGAAAAACTTCTTTACTCTGAGGGTGACAGAGCACTGGAACAGGCTGCCCAGGGGGGTTGTGGAGTCTCCTTCTCTGGAGATATTCAAAGCCTGCCTGGACGAAGTCCTGTGTAACATGGTCTAGGTGAACCTGCTTTAGCAGGAGGGTTGGACTAGATGATCTCCCCAGGTCCCTACCAGCCCTTGCCATTCTGTGATTGTGTGATTCTGTGACACAAACACCTTGAATCCCAGCATCTATCACATCATGAGTGTTCATATTCTCAAAAGGTAAGACCTAGACCGGATGGTCTTTGGTCCTGCACATCCAGTTTGGAGATAATATGTCTTACCCTTCATAATTCTGAGGCCACAGATCTGTCCACATTACTGAGGAAATTCATGTTTCCTTGTAAACCTTGTTTGGTGACATTGGTCTTTTCAACCTTGTTTTTCTTTATGCTGCTGTGTAAGTACTTCAGTAAGAAATGCAAGTTAAAGCAGCAAGACAGCCAACAGAGCCTGGAAACTGTTGCTCAGAAACTCAGCTTTATTAAGATTCTGCAACACTTCTGTTAAGTGTAGCCTTTAACACAGGTACAACCAAGACACTGCAAAGGCAGCAAAACCTGTCCAGCATCATGGTACTAATAGTCTCAATACTTAGTTTTGCAGTATGATTCCAGGACAGTGTTGAAATACTTCGGAGATGTATAGTTCACTTAGCACCAGCTTCTGAAATTTTACACGGAGTAGTAGGTTTGTCACCAAACATTTTACATGTCGAACAGAAAAGATATCCTCAGGGCCATCTCTGAGGATCTTACTATTAGGACTGCACTCAGAGCAGTCCCCAGCAGCTCCAAACTTCAGTACTGGTTATGGTCACATCCTCTCAGGGCCTGACTGTAAGGACGTGTGCCCATTCCCCACCCCTCACCCTGCTGGAAGCAAGCTTTTCTCTGCAAACGGGTATACAGCAAGCAGCTTATCAACTGCCTAGCCAAGACGTGGAACCTGTCACAAGATCCAGATATTTTGTGCTGAAGTGTGCTGTACCTGATGTAAACCAGGGTTCAATTGTCTGTTCAGTACAGAAGGATCAAAAGCTTACAGTAACCTTACAGCTGAGGTAATAACAAAATTGAAGGCAAGAGAGCTTAAAGGCTTTCTAATTTGCAAGTGAACAACCAGATGTTCACTAAATCCTGTAGCACTGCCATCCCAACCTTTGCAGTCTCAGCTGACCATGTAAAGGAGCACAAAGTTCATGCATAGGCACAAAGCATGAAGCTACTTCAAAAAAATTCACCTGGGGCAAGCACATACTGTCAAAGCATCCACAAACACACAAGAACAAAGCTTTTTTTTTTCCACTCTGGGATCCCATCCCTGTTTTGAGGGCTGTTTTGTACATTGCACATGAAGTAGTCATCACATGAAAACAGAAGTCCTACCAAGAGCAGGAACCACAGACCTAGACAAGCCTGTGTTAACTGGATCAACTTCTATCTTGGCTACAGAACTGCATTTGCTTCTGTGTCCTTAGGCCCCATGAATCTTGTATTCATAGTAACCATAGTTCAAAAAAGCATGGCTTGAAAGGATCCACCTTCAGTCTTGTATGGAGTCTGATAGTTAAAGCACTTTTGTAGTAAGCAGGAGATGAAGATTTGAATCCGTTCATGTAAAGAAGGAAACTGAACCCAGGTCTCTTTCCAGCAATTAATCTAACCATCAAGCTATTTCAGGAAGCAGGCATCCTCACAAACTATGGCCTCAATGCAGCTGGTATGCACTGGCACACAGTATGGTCAACTGATCGCACAACCAAGTCAGAGGCATGCAAGCTACCGTATCTTCCCTCTCCCCCTCAGATAATTAAATCTGTTAGTTTATACCTAAGACTGCTAACTGGCAAGCAGTTTCAGAACGGTGCCAAGGTGTGGTTTCACAACACCGATGAACCACCCTAAAGCCCAGGCTGCTACCAACAGAGGCCGTTCCCCTCTGGCATGTTCAAACCTCCTGCTTCAGGCCAGTACTCCTCCGAGCCCACCGAGCACAGACCCAGAGAAGTAAACTGCTGAAAAGCATTGTTCTGTGGCAAGGTCAGTTTTCTGCCAGCTTCGCTTCCTGGACTAGCTTATCATGTTGGCTGCCAACCCCCAGTGCTCGCACAAGAGGCTGCAGACACACACAGCCTATGTGCGAAAGTAACAGAAACAGGATCACCCCTTTTAACAGCAGCCCAAAGACAGATCAGCTCGGTAGTGCCATAAGCCCGAAAGCACATTCGTACTCTGACTACCCCACCATTGCATTTCCAGAGCCCAGAGCAATTTAAGCTGAAGCTAGAAATTTGCTCATGGCTGGGGCAAATTCAGGTACACACAGAAAGCAAAAGTAAACCTTAGTGTCAACTTGTTCAGTTCTCCCATTTGAAGCAGATCCAAAGCTAAGCTGCTGCTCAGCAGGGTTCTAGACCAACTTTTGATTCATGTCCCCCTCAGGCTACTGATTGAGTAGCTACAGCACGGCATTTCAGACAGACATACATTTTTTAAAGCTTTTTGTTTCTGATTCAGATCTCTTGACCAACATTTTTAAAGTACATTTCTTAAATGGCACATGCCTATAAAACTTTCAGTAAGGTGAATTACAGTATTGAAAGAATATATCCCCACATTAAATATCACTTCATGCTACATCTTTAACCATTAGTCACTGCCTGTCAGGATTAAAGACCAAGTTTTGACTACTGCAGCTGTATCGAAGACACCTTTCACGGTAAAAGATTTCCAAAAATGCCCAAATAAAAAGCGTTCACTTACGTGCAGAGAATTGATTGGTCCTCACGGTCTGCAAAACAAGAACAAACATGGTTACAGCTTTTTGTTTATGCTGTCCTGTAATTTGCAAGACAGTTTATTTTAAATGAATGTTTCAAAACAATCCAGCTTTTCAGCTTAACAATTCTAAGGACACTCTCAAGCAATTTTAATATCCCTTAAATTTTACAGTTCACACACCCACCCTCAAACAACAGCTTAGACACTCTTAAAAGTTCTGCCATTTCATATAATAACCCCAAAATTTTGGTTAAATTTAATAGTCACCCACAGTAATCTTTTTAACCATGCTTTCAGACAAAGCTGGCTGAACAGCTTTTATTCTGTATGCACCCTTTCCCAGATTAATCAAATTATTTAAAATCTTAAGTATTAAGAAAAAAAAAAAACACACAACAACAATGTTTTAGGTATACAATACTAATGACCAGACACCTGGAAATAGTACTGATATCTCCAGCAAACAAGTACTTCACAGATATTTTTGTTCCCTTCTTTTCTTTTGTTGTTGGTTTTTTTTTTTTTTTTTTTTTTTTTTTTTTTTTTTTTTTTTTTTTTTCAGTGAACATGCAAGCCTGAAGCGCTTCCGTAGCTTAGCTTATTCATTAAAGACTTGTCAAAAGGACATCCAAGGAAATACCTAACAGAGCCGACCTCTGCAATATGGTGTGGCTCAGCACTTGTGACACCTACTGCCACACTCGTGACCTTTGGAAAGAATGCCTGAAGGTCAGTTATACCCTGCAAGAGGTATTTCATGGTTACAGGAGCATTACAGAACATATTTCAACATCATACACTCGATATTAAAAATCATATCATCAAAACATTCAAATACACCTGCAAAAAGGTAAAAGTGTTTCAGTTAAAGGTGTTCACCCCCTGTTTGAACCAGGGTTTTTAATGAGTTCCAACATCTTTTTCATAAATGTGCATCACAAAGATCTTGCTTTTACACTTCAGCTGCTTCTCACTAGCTCCAAAAGAACACAATCCCGCAAGCTCAGAACTTCAGACAGGTTTTCTGTTATGACTGGTAATTTGTAATAGATTACGTTATAATAAATAAAAATCAAGCTTTGATTTGTTCAAGTGTAAAGCTCAGGACTACACGTTAGGCTCCCTACCACTCTCTGCATACACCCCTTCTCCTTGAACGTGAGGCTCTGACGGACCACAAAAAGGAAGCAATTGGGATGTGATGGTCATTATTCCTTTGAGGACACAGAGTTCAATACCAGCAGGATGAACAGACAGTTTCAGTTGCTACAAGGCAACTTTTCCCCACATGCTTACTAAGTTTGAAACAGATCTATGCCCACATACATACAACCTCAATACATTCATGACCATTTCTGGTAAGCAGAATAACGTAAACAACATTTCACATTGTTTCTAAATGGCTCCAGAAAAACTATTGTTATACTGAATTGCAAATTACTACTGAGTTTTGTAGACTGTATGAAAACAGTCAATCCTACCTATGTAGTGACCTGAGCTCATAGCGCTGTTGGATAACAATTAGTATTGAAGAAGAATTTCAACTTTAGCTGGGGAGCAAGTAAAAAAAAAAAAAAAAAAAATCCAGCAGCGAGCTGTGCTTCCCCCATTACACTGCCTGACGAACCACCCAGATACAACAGCAGCTCATGCTCAGCCACAGCAGCTCCCTGAGCAGGCTTGCCACCCAGCAGCAGAAATACAAGTTTCAGCACAGACAGGCAGGACTGCCAGTCAGGGGTTTAGATCAGCTTACAGGCTGCCAGGGAGCCTGGCAACTGAGGTATACAGCCATAATAAAGACAGGCTGCTGTTGAAGGGGCAATCATATCCCATCCCCTTCCTCCAGCTGTGCCAGCACCCATGTCATCTGTGTAGCACAGCCAAGGGGTGAGCTGCCCGACAAACTGCTTTTTAGTCTGATTTGTGTTGAGCTGGATCAGAGCCCTCTATGTGCCCTGTACGACTGTGCAAGAAATGGTACTGGTGAACGGGAGACATGAGATGCTGTTTCTATACAGCAGCCCCAATTTACATTGGATCAAAAGGCTCATATAGACACAACGCATCTAAAAAAACAAATCAGCTAAAAAAGACCTGGTCTCAGCAAAATACTGTTATTTTAATTAGTTTATGAATAGAAGGTTTGAAGGACATGAAGTCAAATTTTCAAAGCAGGCAGATGCTACCACGTATTGCTGCAGCTGGCTAAACGAGAGGCCTGTGGACTGCACCACTGGCAAGTGTTAGACTACATTTAACATCAAGTTAAATGAGGTGCTTTCTGACTGAAAAATGTTAAATACAGGCAAGCAGTTGTACTTTGAACCCCTTGTACTAGCTTGTTCAAAAGTGGCAAGAAAGACCAGTGACCCTCTTACCCATTGTGCAAACTGCATTGGGTTGCACTTCACCAGGAGCACAAGTCAAATGCTGCACCCACGTGACTATTTGTGTCCTGCAAGCAGATGTTAGCTCCAAAAATCCTACCTATAGGGTAACAAACAGAGCAGAATGATTGTAGTAGGAGAGCAGAATAATATTAGTTTAGAGTATTAAAAACAAGAAAGAAAGTAAGATTCAGAAAGTTGGTGATACTCCTGACAAGTCTGCAGGGATAGTAGCCATCGTTTCCTACATCTGCATGATAACATACTACCTTCTGTACAGACACACCAAAAAAAAAAAAAAAGGAAGGGTGAAGCCTGTGACTGCAAGAAATAAAAGGTGAGAGGAGGCAAAAGCAGTGGGAGGTATGACAAAACAAATGTTAAGAGAACATTCCAAAAGAAGTTTACTGTGTCCAGTTCTGGGCTCCCCAGTTCAAGAAAGATTAGGAACTCCTAGAGAGTCCAGAGGAATGCAACAAAGATGAGGGGACTGGAGCATCTCCCCTATGAGGAAAGGCTGAGGGAGCTGGGCTTATTTAGCCTGGAGAAGAGAAGGCTGAGAGGGATCTCATACAAACAAATATCTTAAGGGTGGAAGTCATGAGGACGGAGCCAGACTCTTCGCAGTGGTGCCCAGCAACAGGACAAGGGGCAATGGGCACAAACTGAAGCAGAAGAGGTTCCAGTTGAACATGAAGAACTTCTTTGAGGGTGACCGAGCCCTGGCACAGGCTGCCCAGGGGGGCTGTGGAGTCTCCTCCTCTGGAGATACTCAAAGCCCGCCTGGACGATGTCCTGTGCCCCCTGCTCTGGGTGAGCCTGCTTGAGCAGGGGGGTTGGCCTGGGTGATCTCCCGAGGTCCCTTCCAACCCCTGCCATTCTGGGATTCTTCTGGTTTCTACATATGGCAGCTGGTCTTACAAGTCCCACCAGAAAACTTCTTGGTACCAGCAGGAGACAAACACCAGAACTCCAGCACTCAGATGTACCATATGCCCAGCTGTCAGCACAAACTAGAAAAAGAGGGCAACTTTCTGTCCCTGACCTGTTTCCAGCAGTAGCTAACAGTGACTCCTGCACTTCACAGGCAACTCCATATGCCAGAAAAAAAAAAATTCAAGGTAACACAGGACAGAACAAATGTTTGTTCTTTTAGAAGAAATTGCTGAAGGAATGCCAAGTTGGTACCATGAGTAGAGTGGAAAGTTAGTATTTCCTAACTTTAATATTTATTGAGACATTTCCTGAAGTGACAACTTGATTTGCCCCTCAAGAATAACGGCTCTCTGTAGCTACACCACTTCATCAAAAAATACAGTCCCCTCTAAACTACAGCTCTTCAGTTTATCACTTCTTAAAACCTTAAAAACACAGGTAACATTTGCCTTGAAATCAAAAGTGGTTTATTTAAAGCTAATGCACATTTGTCAATGCTTTCTATCATGACATATTTCACCTGTCCATTACCACACAAAGCTAGTGTTCCGCAACATGCAAGACACGCTGTGTAAGTGAATTTTACCCAATTAGTCCTACAAAAAGTCTGCAAGCCCAGACAGTTGTACATATTTTGTCATTGCTAGAAGCTCCAGCAAGTACAACAGAGCTTTTTTATTTTCTGTGTCCAGGCACCTGAACTGACACAGACCTTATGAAGAAGTTACCAAGTACTCAAGTATGTTACTCCAAATCCATTTTTCTGTGCCCACCTGGACTCTGAACCTCACAGACTACAGAAGTGGGAATAAGACAACAGCAAGCTTCAAATTTTGCCTTCTGATCGATCACTTACACTAATGGCCAGTTCCAGCATCTAGCACTCAATTAACAGTAACAAAAAATTACAGCTTAAAGGCTGAGGATGCTGCTTTATGCACTGTCAAATGCCAGATGTCTTTTGTCCCAAGAAGGAGAGCTGATCGCTCTGGACTCATTCTGAAAAAGATTCTGACAAAATTACTAACATGGAAGAGTTACTTACGGTTTGTTTGTTTTGATCTTTTCCTCCCCCAAACAACACAATTTATCTGCAGTCTTGATTTCAAAGCAACTGGTCCCCTCCCTAAAGGCTCCTTAGAGCACTAACTACATGTTAGCCTGTGTTTTGAAAGAACTGAACCCTTATCTGACATTTTTGCCAGATTTGTTTTCTGGGGCAGGGAAGAAGCACAAAAGTTCTCATCTTTGAACATACATCTCCATAAAACTTCCAAAAAAACTGTGCGATTCTGTGACCCAGCTTCAACCTGAAGGGCAGCAGGCAGCCCACAAGGCAGGTTTTTTTTTTTTTTTTTAATGACAGAGAACATGCCTAACTCTTAAAAATAATCTGCTATCCTTTGCAGAAGTTTTAATAGCAATTTTTTATTAAAGCCACATAGTTTCGAGGTGGTTGTTCATGGAAACCTAAAAATATTTGGAAAACACTTAACTTTCTACACAAGTCTCGTGATTCTTAAGAACAGACCAAAAACATCTCTCTCCAGCAAAGTCTGCATGAGATAACATCACACCATCAGACAGAGATTTGTGGGAATACATAAAGACTAGAGCAATTCCACAAATCCCTTGGGATTTATAAGCAAGTTGCAGGAATAAAAAGAAGAACAAGTTAGCAGAC